ATAATCAGTAGCATTTACAAGTGCGGTCTGCGTGGAATGTTTGGGCCTGAAACCCAACTCAGATGAACAGCTAAGATATTATTGTCATTCAGGTAAGTATATAATTGATTGTGTACAAATTTTTCAAATACTTTTAGACAGACTGGTAGAACAGATATTGGTCTGTAGTTTGAAGTATTCAAATTGGAGCCATCTTTATAGATTGGCGTAACTTTAGCCTTCCTCCACTGATCAGGTATTTCCCCTGTCATTAGAGAAAAGTTAAAAAGGGTTGTCAGGGGGGTAGATATCTTGGGGGCTGCCATTTTTAACAACCTTCCTGAGATACCATCCGTTCCCGTTGCTTTTTTGGCAGACAAGTTCAGCAGCTGTTTTTGAACCTCTTGGTACCCAAGTGGGGAGAATGTGAATTTTGACTTACAGGTGGTGTGCTTAGAGGTTACCTGCACAGGGCTGAACTTCTCCGCCAATTTGCTACCTATTGTTGAGAAAAACATATTAAAGGCAGAGGCAATGTCTATATCATTTGCAATAGTATTACCATCTACCTCTAGGGCAGCAATTGTGGTCCCTTTAGAGTTTGGCAAAATCTTATTAATAGTGGACCGGAGACAATCAGATTTTGACATGTTTTCAACTATAAGATTATGAAAATAGCTTGATTTTGCTTTTTTGAGCTCAGCTGTTACCTTATTCCTAACTATTTTGTATGAGTTGAAGAGAGATTGCTGAGTCTCTTTACCTATTGCCTTGGAGTACTTTTTCTTTTTCAAGTAATCTCGACTTTGCATGAGCTTCCTTATGTCATCGTTCATCCACGGCATGCTATCACATCTTATTTTACACTTGCGCAAAGGCGCATGGATTTCGCATATAGCACTGAAGAACGATGCAAAGGTTTCCCATGCAATGTTAACATTACTTGCAGATAAAAAATTTAGGCCAGGGAAAAGCTTTTAAGTCAGCCAAAAATTCAGTTTTTGAAAGATTTTTGAAGTTTCTACAGTTAATATGTTTACTTGGTGGCCTTTGTACATACATATCTATGTTACAGTAGATCAAGTAGTGGTCAATTATGCCAAGGGTGTACACCCCCCCCCCCCTATGACAGGTTTATTTGAGTCAGCAAATATGAGGTCGATTGTGGTTGCTGACGAAGGGGTCATTCTTGTGGGTTGCTTGATAAGTTGTTGCAGTCCAAGTTCATTTGTGATTGGGGTGAGATCATCCAGGGCATTTGTTGATGCATCCAGATTAAAGTCCCCAAGTAAATATGTTAGAGATTGTGTTGTCATTTTAATCTGGGATATGGAGTTCGAGAGATTGTTGTACCAGTCTATAATGACTGGCACGGGTGGACGATAAACACTACCGATTGTAATGTGTTTGGTGTTCGGGATCCTAATTTCAGTCCATGTAAGTTCGAGGTTGTCGGTGTTTATATCAGGACGATCAAACGCAGCGATTGTGTCCCTCACATAGCATGCAACACCAACGCCATGCCGGTTTCGATCCTTCCGAGAGATAAGCTTATATCCAGGTATATGAAGTTCAGTGTTATCTATATGTTCATCGAGCTTAGTTTCAGATAGACAGAGGACATGGATAGAGTCATTAGATAATGCCTGTTTCAGATGGTCGAGGTGTGCAACAAGGCTATTAATGTTATATGCAGCGATAAAAAGCCCCTTTTTACCCAATTTTGGGATTGAATATGAAACATCATCATCGGTTTCTGCATGTTCAGTTTTAGTTAGAGTCCATTTCACTGTTTTATTGCGTCAGTAGAACCCTAGACTGTATCCTTCGTCTGAATAAATATTCAGACTGTAAGTCACCTATTGCACGGGTAACTAGAGTATCCGCGTATATTGAGTATGACCGGTTCTTAGGCTACGAATATGACCTGTTTTGGAAAGTCATGAGAGGCACAGCTGCTTAAAAATGGAAAATAAAGGTTAACTTCTATATTATCCTTTTTGAAATTGTGTTTGTTGAATATAGTTTATGCTGTATTTAATAGTAATGTAACAAAAAAATGTTAAAGCAGATATGAAATGGTATTTTTAACCTACAGGAATCAATATAATTTTTTGATAAATGTATTTGGACATGTTTTCTCATCAGTAGTGCGAAAACTATTTCACTCTAACGATCGTTATAGCTGCTTAATAAGCAATATTCGAATTGGTTGTGACGTTATTGGCCCCCACGTGATCTCTCACTGGTCCCCACATGGCCCATAACGTCATAATGCCTAAATGTTTTGTTTTGGTTTACACTACAATCCTATGGTTGCCGTGACGTTGTGATTACTAAGGAACCAACAAACCAAAGCTATATTTTGTATATGACGTTACTTATCACGTGGGGGCCAATTTGATTGATCAGTTAGTTTTGTTTCGTTATTTATGACCGTTAGCAGTTATCTAACATTTATTTTATAATGGCTATCGCAAGAACTCTACGTTGGGCTTACAATGGAGAAAACCGCATTTTTGTAGCTGCAAGTTGAGAAAAGCTATTTCAGTTGTCCTTTAAACATGAGCTATTTTAGCAATGTAACTGTTCATAATGGAATATCAATCAGAAAGTACAGATTTCTCGCCTTAGAGCCAAATCATAATATCACAGTAGAAAAAAACAAATCCCAAACCTTTTTATGGCTAACCTGAACAAGATCTCCAAATCTCAGTTTATATGATCCCCCGTAGAGTGAGCAAGAGAAGGATTTATCTTTTCCCAGAGGATACGCTTGTGAAATGTCATGGAAACGAGTGTAACACGGCATCCAAGACATTTCACAACCGTATTCTCCAATAATGGGGCACCAGTGACATTCGTATTCTCAAAAATTCAAAGATGTATCATATTTGGACAGAGCAGGCTAAATTATTTAAAATATTCATGACTTATTCGTAGATCTAGCTATATGTTATACATAAGATGTGTCATCCTCTTCGGAGTTGCGTTGTGTTACACAAAAACTGATCAAAGATGCTGGAAACTAGGATTTTACGGCTTCAATCTAATATTAATACGTTTTCTGTTGATTAAGGCCCCTTGTGATATGCCTGGCATTATAAGTATACCAAGTATCATACATTGACCAAGTAGGATAAAAAGAAAACATTCGAAAGTGTTCATAAAAAGCAAGTACTCACCTCGTCTGTTTATAGGAACAGAAATACGGTCACACTCGTAAGCTTAGAACCGGTCATACTCAATATACGCGGATACTCTAGTATCCCGTGTATTGTAAAATGTGGTGTTGTATAAATGTTACAAATAAGTTTGTTTAATGATAAAATGATTACCTTATAAAGAACTTACAATATTATTTTTTCGTATATTGTCCTCTTACTGAAGATATTCATAAAATGTACAGACGCTTCTTGTAGCGAAGCCATTGATTAGGTCAAGCCATTTTGGCAATGCCAATTCTCACGATAAACGAGATTTAGCCAGTGACGTCAGTCTATTTGTAAACAAATAACACATGGGGCGGACGGAGCAACATTACGGAAGCGTATTGATAAATTCCATTTGTGCGGGAATTTATTAGATCTAGTCATTTATTATCATAATCCCGATTAATTTTCTTCATTTATAGTAAATAGAGCGGAAATATTCATGAAGAAGGAGAGGTAATCAAGTGGTCATGTGTTGTCAAAGTTCAAAAAATTTGCATATCTCGTTTGGATCTCGTGAACTCAAACGTCCTTGACATTGATTTTGCGATCTACTTATGAACACATCCTGAAGTTTTGGTGAGTCTGAACATTTCATTATTTTATATCAACTTGTACCCGCCTTATACAAATATTTTTGCTTCTAGTTTAAGATGAACATCTCTTCAACATATTCACCAATTTTCAAGGTGAACATTCTTGTAATAAACGAGAAATTAATGTGCAAAAAATATCACCGCGATTTCCACAGGAAATATATCAATCATAACAGACCGAATATTATATTCGGTCTGTTAAATACATACTAAGTAGAACCCCAAAAATAAAAAAATTGGGAGACCATTGTGCAATAATATATGGAAAAGTAGATTCATATTGTACATGAATGACATTTGTACATTTCAGATTTTCTAGTTTTTTGTGCAATAAGTCTGTGCCTTCTTGTAATTTGAAGAATTTCAGCCGTTAATTTTATTGAAAATAACATGGCAGAGAAGCATCCATATAGATAAGAGGCCACACACTTTATAAGCCAAACTAGAAGCAATCCAAGATATACAAATGTCATTCATGTACAATAGGAACATATTTTTCCATAGGTTTTACTGACGCAATTCAACAGTGAAATGGACTCTACAGTGGGGATCATAAAGAATTGCAAAAGCTATGAAAATTACATGCTATCGCACATGTAATAAATTCTTACCTCAGTGTATTCAGTGCTCTATTTTCTCCGTCTTAGTAAGTCCAAATATAGTGGAATTTGTGTCCCTAATGACAAATAAGAACTTCAAAAGTTGAATTGGATATTCACATGTTATGCCGATTCTTCAAATGTTGAGGTGATTTTGTCGCCCGATTGCGCCGGAACGGAGGATTGGCTCCCAGAATGCAACATGACACGTGCCAGCTTTCAAAATGCTGTTCCGCCATTTTTAAACCTGTCATGAGTAAATACGGTTAACTGATGTTGCATTCTGGGGGTCAACCGTCCTTGGATAACAAACATGGCGATTCATGAAAACATTCATTCGATTTGGTAGGGATTTATACATTATTTGCAGGTATGAAGCTTTGGATTCATTTATTGTGCTACTTTAGTGAACGGGAATTATTTTTCTACCGCTTGGGAGAGTTTGAGACACGAAACTTGGAAATTAGCTCATTGTGACAACTTATGAACGTTGAGTTTTATTTTTGTCCCCCACTGTAGAATGTTAGAAATTAAAAATAGGATATAGACCTAGTCTAAGTATAGTCTACTGCACCAAAACTGCAATAAAAATTAAAATTTATACTATAGTCTACCTGCATGAAGTTTTACCAACACCGCCTTTCCCTCCTACAAATATCCATCGTAAAGACTGCTGTTCGATTACATTGGCCAAAGAAGGGGCCAAAGGCTCAAACTCTGAATCAGCAGTAGCCATTTTGAAAAAGCTAATATATATTTTAGTATCAAATCTGTACGATTACTCATGTTATTTGGTTGTGTGTTTTCAAACATAAAAACATAATTCAAAAGATTTAAAACTAAAGCAAATTTATCAATATACTTTAGGGTGAATTCTTTTCAGTTCTAAGCGATTTCAAGAATAAAAATTTCATATGACTCAGATATCTGAAAACTGGATTAGCTCAGTAACAAAATGGCGAATCTGCCAAAAAGTACAGTAATTTGTTCCCGGAAACGTTTGGCCAGAATTCGTTGTCTGAAAGAGTGTATACAATGTTTTAAAGCCAATACACTGCTTCCTATTGATTTATGCTACATATCTGCAGAGGTTGAATTCAAAACGACGAGTGATACTCGCAAGATACTATTTTCAGAACCGAGTAAGCAAAGTCAAAAAATTGCTGAGTTGAAATTATGTAAAAGTGGAAGTGTATTCATCTGCTCCGGAGAAGAGTTCTGTAATTCTCAAGGTCAATGGGCTAAGGTGACATCGGTACGTAGAAATAAGTTTTATGTTTACCATATTCATAGAGTATTTAGGGTATGAGGTTCCATATCCATCCGCCAAAAGGTATGACCCCTATATGTATATACATAGATCCCGGCCAGATTCTTTTGTAGTAGGATCAGTAGCTCAATAAATATTCCTCAAGACACCTCAGAAAATTTCAAATTTTAAAATGATGATTATGGAGCCATTTCTGAAAAAATGAGACAAATCATACCTCATTCGAAGCATCTTGTTATTCTTTAACCTTTTTATCACCAATGATCGTTATTCAAGCAATGCTGCATAGATAAGAGGCCAAAACAGTGATATTTTATCGCCGGACTCTTGTCTGTCCAAATCTGAATGGTGCTCCCATGGTTCCAGAAATGTGACGTCATCAGTACAATGATATTTGGACACACAAGAGTCTGGATCTCGTGAAAAATATTCGCCGTATTAAAAGTCAAACAACTGGATCCATAGGTTATTTACTCGAACCAAACGAGTACATGTAGAAATAGAAAGATGGAGATCTCGGCTATAAAATAAGCGCAAAATCTGTCATGGGGAAGCAGGTACCAATTTGTATAAGGAACATTTTCAAAAGGTGGTCATATTTTTTTTAAATTTTCCAATTTAGTGTCGTATCTTGTGAATTATTCTTTGAGCCTATGAGATCCTACTACAAGACGATCTGGCCAATATCTGTGCCTATATAGTCCATTTAAAAACTTGTGGTTTTGTTCTAAATAACGCCATAGTTGGCTTCTAGGGTACCTAGTATGCAACTATTTGGTATCAAAATAAAGAGGAGGAGTTCAACTTTCATTTGAATTACGAAAATAGCGATGTAGGTTAAAATAGTTCCGACGTGAGCATGTTTACTATGCGTTTGCCCGTCATCTCAGAATTGAGGAAATGGTAGCAAACGCGAGTTACAATAAATGGACGCTGATATCTCAAAAAGTAACCTGACTTCCTATAATTTGATGTAGATCAATCAAACCCCTATATGAACAGGTACATTTTGATATATAACACTATGGGGGGTAAGCGTTTTATAGTTGATCAGGAACACCATATGTGCAAAGTATTGTTCTGAATTTTCGAATTTGGTGTTGGATTACAGTACTCATACCTTAATATGAGGCCTAAAATTGTCTGCTAGTTGGCCAGAGACCCATATTCTAGCAGAATTTGTGAACAGAATCGATTTTTGGTCCGTCCGTCAACATTGGCCGCACAAAATAAAACTGCTATTTGGATTGAGTCATATCCACAGTCATTTTATGCATATCCATAATGCCTATTTGACCTATCATCGCCATTTCCCAAGTTTGCCCGGTTTCCGAGAAATCTCTGATTTTGACGTCAAAAAGTCAAATTTTCTGTAAATACTAGACACTTTGTTGAAGTAGAACTTTCAAATAACTTGAAGTAGTTGCTGTATATGCAACTTATGTCCTCTGAAGATTTCAAAGCTCTTGGAATTACAGTTTTTGGTGTTTACTCTATAAAAGACAAAAAGTAGGACTTAGTCATTTCCAGGAAACTTTCTTATGTATAAAGTCAAAGGTTTTGTGATTGACAAGTTTCTCAAAGTTTGCCTTATACTTGATCATTTCTTGCAATGAATTACATCATAACTAGATTTAAGCATTCCCTACATATTGCTCAATATATGTCAGCATCAAATTTTTACCGTTTTTGAGATATTTGACGTCAAAAAACAGTAAAAATAAGTTATTTTTCAACTTGCTTCAATTTGACCAAATTTTTTTTGAAAATCATCTACACATTACCAGGAGTTCAAATCTGACATTAGTTTTGGGATTTGTCCTTTACTTGACCTTCAGTGACCTTTGAAATGTCAAAAAAGTTGATTTTTCAAATTGATCTTTGGATGTAAATTTTGGTCAGCTTAATCACATAAGGCCTTACTGAGCTCTAAATAAGTAAAATTTTCAAGGTCAAAGGTCATCAAATTAGGTCACACAATTGTGCTGTCTAAGTTTCTCAAAGTTCGAGACTACAAATCTAAATCAATATTTTTGTTTGAAAGTCAGGATATACATTCCTCTGAAGGTTCCAAACTGTGTGAGCACAGGACCGTGGGTCCTATTTTTTCGTTCTGCGTAGGGCAAACAATGATTTAAAATCACTTTCAACCCTTCTGTGCGTATAAGAATGGTCATAAGAGGCCCGTGGAGGGTCATAAATGAAAGAAAGCCCTCTGAAATTCCATCAAAATTGCAGGTTATTTCTTCATTTTTTGCTAAAATTACATGTTTTCATATTTAGCATAATTGGACTGTATCGACGCCCTCTTTGCTATGTTTTATGCATTTGTGAAGCCAATGACAATATATTTCAATTGCACCCAACCATGTTTCCCAAGTGACCCCTACAATATTTGGTAAGATTATTGGTACAAACTGTGTGACAATTATTGGACCCTAGATATCTCTTCGTTTGGCAGATATGATTTGACGTCATAGACGAAATATCTCAGGGTTGGTCAGCAATGAGTTAAGCCTTTATAGCATCAGATGTTGGATCTAAGGGTTCTGGGTTCGATTCCAACACAGCGCGTTGAATTTAGCACACATTCTTTCATGTCTGTATCTGGCTTGTTACACTATGCTTGTTAGTTTGTTATTCCCCTGAAGCATCCTTGGGTCATAACTGTTGATAGTATTAAAACTTCAAATATCATAAATCAAACATAACTATCACAAACATGTTTTAAGATTCATTATCATAAGGTTTGAGATATTTTCATTATATTGGGAGATTTTTGAAGCAATTTTCACATGTTGAATGTCCTCCTGATTTCGTTAAGGCCAATGTTGACAAATGTTATTTTATCTCTTGAATTCCTATGACTACTCTTTAATATGTCAATGCAGTTGGTAACCCTTTAGCTTTAACAATTTTAACTTCCATAATCGATCCTGCAAGAAACCTAGCTAATCATAATATTATTTAAAAAAGGTGTCACTACAAATCCTTCGAACTATAGACCAATTTCAGTTTTATCGGTATTTTCTAAATTTTTAGAAAAGCTCATGCACGCCAAACTCACTGGTTTTTTAGAACGTTTTGAAATTATTTTTACTTATCAATTTGGATTTCAGAAATTCAACTCTACCTACATGGCCATTTTATATTTCATTGAACAAATTTGAAAATCAACTGATTTGGGGAAAACGAGCATCGGCATAACATTAGATTTTTCCAAGGCCTTTGACACAATTAATCATGACATTTTGATACAAAAACTTGAATATTATGGCATCAGAGGAATAGCTAAGTCCTGGTTTGAAAGTTATTTAAAAGACCGCAAACAATATGTCACCATTAACAATTATGAATCTAAACAATCATCTCTAAATTGTGGTGTTCCGCAGGGCTCGGTACTTGGACCACTATTATTTATTCTTTACATAAATGATCTGCCTTTTGTTGCCCCTAATCTAAAATTTATTATGTTTGCTGATGACACCAATCTTCTTGATAGTGATTATGGTTTAAACTTATGACTAGAACTAATGCAAACTTGAATTCAATAGATGACTGGATAAAAGCAAACAAACTTTCACTTAATATTGGTAAAACCAATGCTATTCTATTTGGACCCAAAAAAAATCAAACAAATCTGAATCTTAAAATACGCAATGAGAACATAAATTTCCGGGAAAAAATTGACTTTCTTGGAATTATTATTGATAAAAACTTGAAATTTAAAGAGCACATAAAATCTGTTGAAACAAAGATTTCTCGCGTCATTGGTTCTCTTTATCACATTAAACATCTACTTCAAATAGACAGTTTCAAACCAATTTACTACTCATTGATACACTCTCAATTAAATTATTGCAACGTAAACTACAGTATATCAAGAAAAGCCTTTTATAAAGTCATGATATAAATGAGTTCGTCAAACCTCCTTCAAGATCACACAGACAAAATATTTTCCCAAAACAAGAGATTGTTCTTGACTAAATTAGTCTTAGTATGTGACCCTAGATAACATCAAGGAGGAGGAGCTTCTCCAAATATGAATATATCCTCATTGTTCTGACTAGCACTTATGAAACGATAAAATCACTTTTCCAGTATATATTAAGCGAGACAGGTGCCACTCAAACATCCCAGTCAACAGTTGATGAAACCACTGAACCAATGAGAGTTGTGCCTGAACAGGATACCTGGATTATCATACATGATAGCCAGAAGGCTACCAGAGACAAGAATACATTGGTTTCTGCCAATGAAGATGTGATTTTACAAAGCAAAAAAGACCAAACAAATGGAAGGATACCAAAGAAAAAATTGTCCAGGTATGTGTATAAATCAGCCAGGTAGTATTTTTGAGAATGTACGTAATTATGTTTTCTTAAAAAATAGATTTTTGATTAATGATAGCGTAATCACAGGCTGGTATCGAAAAATTTGTCCGCTGTGACGGAGCGTGCTATTTTGCATAGAAACACTAAGAAACCCACATAATTTATTTTTTTACTCATATGTTCCGCTATACCAAAGAAAATTTCTTACTCCATGCAATGGGTATATCATTTGCGGGTAACTTTAACTTTTGTTTGAAGTCCAACAACGCTAAGAGTAAAAGCTATTGAAAACGGCGCCAGGGTATCATACTCCAAAATGGTGACACGATAATATTTACATATGTTTTCAGCTTAACTCTGAAGGTATTAATGATATCTTGATGTATTGGGTATTTTTAATATTTTTTATAAAAAATAATGTTTACATTTTTTGTGAGCTGTGACGGAGCAGTTTTAACTGTGAACTACGTTAAGAATTTAAGATTCAAATTATATCTTTTAAAAGTACCCTTAGAAGAGAGAACGTCACAAATCACTTTCCTAAATTATGACAAGTAGCCTCTGGGAGATCTGGGATAATGTAAATCTGAGACATAACTCTCAGCATTTTTCGGAGGTTTGTACTGAAATCAACATGAATCAACATGGTGTAAACTCAACATAATATTTCTAATACGTTTTCGCCAAGACGTCTTGGAATGTCACGTGTAGTGTAAATAGGGCTAATATGAATTTATTCGAAAAAGCGCACAGACATCCTGCATTCCGACAGATGTATAACCTAATTAACATAATATTACTGTATATAAGATGATCCAAATACAGATTTAATTTGAAATTATTTGAAATTCATCGTTTTGCATATACTAAAATTATAAAAAAAGTCTTGGTAAACGGGCTGCACTGTAAAACCTGTATCAATGAATATCTTTCTCTAGTGAACACCTTTTCTTATCAAAAATTCCTCTGACCTCTGTATGAAATTGCCTCTATGGCGTGAACATCTACCAACTGGGAACACATTTTGGGCTCCATACATGTATGTGTTCACTGTACACATGTTTTACTGTAGTTGCATCAGATAGCCATAACTCTAATTCAAATAAAGAACAATCTTAAAATGAAATTTTGTATACTTAAATGAAGTTGACTATCATTTTCATGAGTTGCCATTAGGGGTGAGACGAGTCGAAAAAATCCAATTCGAGTCGAATCCGATTCGAGTCAGAAAATGACGATTCGAGTTTCGAATCCGTTTCGAGTCGCGCGAGTACTGTTTATTTAGATAAAGTGCGAACAACATCGCTTTTGACCGTTCGCATTTTTAATGCGTCAATGGTTTATTCTGATTTTATTACATATATTCTTTCATTTATGTGTACATACAATATAATAATTTAATACAAGCATATCCAAGTCATTGAAACTTATATATTCAACGCAATATCGAGTAAAAACATGCATATTGACAGTATTTTTCTGAATTCTTTTATTTTTTCGAATTTTTTTCTCAACTCGAAAATGATTCGATTCATCAACTTCGACTCGATTCGACTCGACTCGAAGCCCCAAACCCGCCAGTCCTCGACTCATCGGGTTGTCGTCTCACCCCTAGTTGCCATGCATAAGTTGGATTACAGTACAAACTGAGAAAAGAAGCTTAAAGAGTGGTCGTATATTCATCTCAGAATTTGAATTGTGTATTTGAATAATTAAAAATACCCAATACATCAAGATATCATTAATACCTTCAGAGTTATGCTGAAAAAATATGTAAATATTATTATGTCGGTATATTGTACCATTAAAAAGAAATAAAAGAAATGGTACATTTACGAGTATGATACTCAGACGCCATTTTCAATAGGTTTTACTCTTAGCGTTGTTGGACTTCAAACAGAAGTTAAAGTTACCCGCAAATGATATATTCATTGCATGGAGTCAGTAATTTTCTTCGATATAGCAAAACATGTGAGTAAAAAAACTAATTGTGTGAATTTCCTAGTGTTTCTATGCAAAATAGCACGTTCCGTCACAGCAGACAAATTTTTCGATACCAGCCTGTGGTAATAGTAAATTGAAATAATCTTTTTATTCTACCTCGAGTGACAGTAACTTCAAACTACATGTATTATAATTTTTTGTTTTTTAAAAAAAACATTGTTACATTGTCTTGATATGCCATCAAATCAAATCTTACAGGACTCAGACCCGTAGCCAGATGAGTTCAGGGATGCGGGGGAACCCCCCTCCCCTAGCCAAAAGTTCTTTCAAAATCATGCAGTTTTCACCATTTTGAGCAGTTTTTGCTGATTTTGGCAAAAATTGTCAAATGTGAACCCCCTTGAACTTTTCAGAAAGTAAGCCGCCTTGGCAAAAGCTGGCTACAGGCCTGGAACTATCAAAATAATTGATTTTGTCAAACCTATTATTTCTTTGTTATTCTAGCTGGGAGGAGATAGTTGAACAAAAATACACACTAAAACTTGGAAAACCCATGGAAGTGACTGCCATGGATACGGAAGCTGTTGCTAGGTTACAAAGTGTGCCCCCAGGGTGGAATATAGAGCATGATGAAGAGTTGGTGCAGTTCCTGGTTGATAATATTGAGCCTGAGAATGAAACTCTTGGTAGCATCAAGAATTATGTGGAATCAATAGACGTTTCATCATTCTGTGTATGTAGCATTTTGCAGTTGTCTCTTTTTATAAGCTCACATGGTGAGCTATTCCAATCACTCACTTGTCCGTCTGTCTGTCTGTCTGTCAACAATTGGCCCGTTTTAAAACCTCTGTCAATAGGATTCCCGTTTTAAGTTATTTTATACCTTTATACCTTTATCCAATAGTTCTGGAAGAAGGATGTTTCCTATATGATCCAGATCTTTTTGTGTTGTTGTGTCTTACTAATTAATTGGGGGGGTAGTTGTTATAATGCTCACTGGACATTGGGTGCGGAGGAGCTGAGCTCCTCTGTCATAAACGTACCTCCGCACCCAATATTAAGAGGGGGCTCATATCTGAAGAACATTTCCGAATTTTTATAAAACCACACAGATACTGCCTGGCTTCCAAGATGCAAAAATAATTTGCATGGGTAGTGTATCTTGAACACCATTTTTTATGAATGCTGGGGACGCAGTATTAAAAGGATAGTCTCAAAATATATAGGTCTGGGAAATGTTTAAGGCATAATGCGTCGCTATAAATTGAATTGCACTACTATTTTCACAATTTTATTGATATTTGGTGTCAAATACACATATCTTGGTATATTTGAAGTCCCAAAACGGCTTAGTTTCAGAAATATCCGAATTTTAAATTCAAAAATGACCGTTAGCTCCGCACCCTCCGCTCATTTGCGCCGCACCCAATATTTCCCACAGGCTCTCACATCAAGTCTGCTGTATCTATGATTTAGTTTTTCTGTGTTTCCTCTTGTCCTGGTATTATCTGATTTCTGGGCGATATCACTGATTTGTATTCGGTCGTAACCTTTTAGAATCTTGAAGATTTGGATAAGATCACCCCTTATTCTTCTATACAGTAAAGAGGGGAGTTTTAGTTGTCTCATTCTTTTTTCATAGCTTAAATCTTTCAGTGGTGGTACTAGTTTTGTTGCTCTTCTTTGTACTCTTTCAATTTTGTCAATATCCATATAGGTGTGGGGGTTCCAGACACTGTTTCCATATTCAAGGTGAGGCCGGACCATGGATTTATATAGGAGTGGTAAGGTGGTTCTATCAAGATGGGAGAAAGTTCTTTTTATTGTCCCAAGAATACTGTTGGCTTTGGATACTTGTTTATCGACATGTTGGTGGAACTTGAGTTTGCAGTCAATATTGATTCCAAGTTCCTTTTCCAATGTTGTTTGCTCCAAAGTTTTGTTGTTCATGGTGTAGTTTTGTTTCTCATCGTTGGTACCTAGATGCATCACCTTACATTTATCTGTATTGAAAGGGAGTTGCCATTCTTTTGACCAATTTGTTAAACTGTCCAGATCTGTTTGTAACTGTTCTTTATCATCTTGGTCTTTAACTTTACCATACAGTTTGGCGTCATCTGCATACATAAGAAGCTTGTTCCTTGTGGCATCTGGGAGGTCATTTATAAATATTGCAAATAGGGATGGTCCAAGGCAGGTCCCTTGAGATACCTGAGAGAACAGGGGCCCACTCAGATGTCGTTCCATTCACTGATACTCTCTGGAGTCTATTAGTTAGAAAGATCTGATCCAGACAAGTACAGATCCCAATATTCCATAAGATTTCAATTTTATGAGCAGACGTTCATGCGGGACACTATCGAACGCTTTGCTAAAATCTGTGTAAATTGTATCCACAGGGTTCCTGTCATCGATGTTTTTGGTTATATCCTCAAGGTAAATCAAGAGATTAAGAACTGTGGATCTTTTGGGTACAAAGCCAAATTGGTCATCTGTCAGTATCTCATTTTTAATTAAGTGTTCTACAATTTCATCTCTCACGATTTTTTCCAGCATTTTCACTACTATTGAGGTTAGGCTAATTGGTCTATAGTTACTTGGCTTTTTCTTTCTGTTTGTGATGTTTTGTCTTGTTTTTTCACTTCCTTTTTTGTATATGGGTGTAATGTTGGCATATTTCCAATCCTTAGGCAGTGTGCCAGATCTCATGGATTTATTGAAAAGTAGGGTGAGGGGGGTGATAAGGGATTTAGCCGCTTCCTTCAGAGGGTGGGGGTGGAAGCCATCGGGGCTGGGTGACTTATTTGTATTCAGCTTCAACAGCTGGAGTGCTACCATTTCTTCTGTGATGTTGATTTCCTTTATTTCCTTTTCATATGTATGATTCTGTCATTTTTGGTATGTTATTTAGGTCTTCTTTGGTAAAAACACTTGAGAACTGTTTGTTCAGAGCCTCTGCTTTTTCTCCATCTGTTGTCGTCTCAGTGCCATCATCCTTCAGTAGGTTAGAGATGGGTTCCTCTGTATCCTGTTTAGATTTGGTGAATTGCCAGAACTGTTTTGGATTTTCTTTAAAAGAACATTCCTGGCCAAAGCTTTTCTATCCTGATGTGATAGCTATAATCATATATATACTTTCCATATTTAGCAAAACATGGGGAAATGTTTTAATATAGTCAATATTGATAATTTAAAAATGTAGTGCTCATTTCCAGTAAGCTGCCATCATTTAAGATTTTACTCAGGAAGTGATGTCATCGACTCTCAACTTTCATGACCTTGCATATAACAGTATAGGAAAATAGCACAATATCACTTCTAGACGAGTGATCCTTACTTTATGCGCAAAAATATGTTCAGAGCTTGTCAGCTTAGAATAAAAGAAGAGACTTTTAGAAGGATTAAATCATAGACAAAATTGAAAAAGAATATTCAGCTGCTTTTGTAATTCTTAATAGATCCTTACAGTGTTATATACAAAGTTAAGAGTCGATGACATCACTTCCTGAGTGAAATATTAAAAGATGGCAGCCTACTGGAATTCTGCACTACATTTTCAAGTGATCAATATTGACCATATCAAAACATTTTTCCCTGTTTTGCTAAATATGGAAAGTATATATATGGTTATAGCTAACATATTAGGAGAGAAATGGTCTGGCCAGGAATATTCCTTTAACTTCTAGAGCAATTTTTCGTTCATAGTCATAACTAAGTTTGCAGGTATATGCTCTTAAATTGTCTCTGGCTTCTTGGTAATGTTTTAGATTCATTTCACTTTTGGTTGCTTTGTAGTTCTTCCAATATCTATACTTTTTACGACTCATCTTTATGGCAGTTTTATTAATATATATTTTTACGTTGATCCCTAAGAATTTTAGTCAGGTATTGTGCATTGTTACTAGCAATCCTTGGTAATGAGTGACCATCAACTACATTTAGTTTAAAGACCTCTGCATATTGAGGAAGCTCTACAGAGGTTACTAGCCACTCTATAGTGTCATCCACTGTCCAGTTGTATACATGCGAGTTTGTCCAGATTCTCCAGAGCTCTTCTGCAGTGATATATTCATCTTTGCGATGGAACTTTGTGTGGCGCTCAAAGTCATCTGTGTATTTAAGCTCATCACGGATAAACTCATCACTCTCAGACAGGGTCACTCCACCATTCTTGTCATCATCTATCTGAGCATGTAGGGAGTTGATAGCCTCATAGCCCATCTTGTCATTTTCACACAGGTTGTCCTGGATTGGGCATTCAACTGGTCCAGCCTGTATCTTCCCATTCAATCCTGATATTTTTGTTCAACATCAATATAGAAAACCACCCTATGACTCCTGGTTCAAAAGCTCGCCTATTTTCAGAATGGCCACCATTTTTGTTTCGCAAACCATTTGCTTTAAAACCTCTGTCTATCGGATTCCCGTTTTAAGTTATTATTGTTCAACATCAATACAGAAAACTCCCCTACGACTCCTGGTTCAAAAGCTCGCCTATTTTCAAAATGGTCACCATTTTTGTCTCGCGAAATTCACCTTTGGCCCATTTCCTAGGTTTACAAATAATTTCAGGTGTCCTGCATTGTAAAAAGCCATGTCATTGTAAAGGGTATTTGTATGAAATAATTTTTTTGTTACAAAAAATCGGCAAAAATTTATACCTGTTTTTTTTATTTTCAGCCATTTTAGTTAACATTGATTTGTCCATCTGTCTCGCGAAATCCTTTTTTGGACCATTTGCCTTAAAACCTCTGTCGATAGGATTCCTGTTTTAAGTTATTTTTTATTCAACATCAATACAGAAAACTCCCCTATGACTCCTGGTTCAAAAGCTTGCCTATTTTCAAAATGGTCGCCATTTTTGTCTCGCGAAATTCACTTTTGGCCCATTTCCTAGGTTTACAAATAATTTCAGGTGTCCTACATTGTAAAAAGCCATGTCACTGTAAACAGTAGTTGTATCAAATAATTTTGTTACAAAAAATTGGCAAAAAATTATGTCAGTTTTTTTTTATTTTCAGCCATTTTAGTTAACATTGATTTGTCCATCTGTCTCGCGAAATCCACTTTTGGACTATTTGCCTCAAAACCTCTGTCGATAGGATTCCCGTTTTAAGTTATTTTTATTCAACATCAATACAGAAAACTCCCCTATGACTCCTGGTTGAAAAGCTTGCATATTTTTAAAATGGTCGCCATTTTTGTCTCGCGAAATTCACTTTTGGCCCATTTCCTAGGTTTACAAATAATTTCTGGTGTCCTGCATTGTAAAAAGCCATGTCATTGTAATACAGTACTTGTATAAAATAATTGTGTTACAAAAATCGGCAAAAAATTATATCCGTTTTTTTATTTTCTGCCATTTTAGCCATCATTCATTTTTGAGCAACACCATGTGAGCCCAGTACCCACGGTACTATTTATTTCTGTTTTATACTACTCATTCCACTTATTGTATTTCAGCATATGTTGGTTTTACTTTTTATCGCACTTTGAAAAAGTGCTATATTGCCGTCGTCTTGTGCTGTTGGGCGGGCGTGCGGGCGGGTGTGCGGGCGTGCGGGACATAAACCAAATCTTGTCATCAAATTTCCAGGATAACTGCTTACCTGTTCAACTTGAAATTTTTACAGATGCAAGAGCAGACTAGTACCAAGATCTGATTAGGTTAAGGGCATGCTGGGTAAACTACGTGGTGGCCATTTTGAATTTTTCAACAAATCTTGTCATCAAAATTGCAGGAAAACCACTTATCCGTTCAACTTGAAATTTTTACAGATGCAAGAGCAGACTATTGCCAAGATCTGATTAGGTTTTGGGTATGCTGGCTGAATTACATGGTGGCCATTTTGAATTTTTCAATTTGGCGGCCATTTTGAATTTTTCAACTTGCTCCAAATTGACCAAATTCTTTTTTTTAAAAACATCTACAAGTTCTCAGAAGTTCAAATCTGACCTTAGATTTCAGATTTGACCTTTCATTCACCTTCAGTGACCTTGAAAAGGTCAAAAAAATTGATTTTCTAAATTGATATTTTGGATTTAAATTTAGGTCAGCTTAATTACAAAACACCTACTGAGGTCTGAAAAAGTTAAATTTTCAAGGTCGAAGGTCAAGGTCATTAAACTAGGTCACAAATGATGTTATCCAAGTTTCTCAAAGTTTGAGACTACAAATCAATTCTTGTCATCAAAATTCCAAGAAAACCGCTAACCTGTTCAACTTGAAATTTTTACACATGCAATAGCAGACTAGTGCCAAGATCTGATTAGGTTTAGGGCATGCTGGGTAAACTATGTGGTGGCCATTTTGAATTTTTCAACAAATCTTGTCATCAAATTTCCAGGAAAACCACTTATCCGTTCAACTTGAAATTTTTACAGATGCAAAAGCAGACTATTGCCAAAATCTGATTAGGTTTTGGGTATGCTGGCTGAATTACATGGTGGCCATTTTGAATTTTTCAATTTAGCGGCCATTTTGAATTTTTCAACTTGCTCCAAATTGACCAAATTCTTTTTTTTAAAAACATCTACAAGTTCTCAGAAGTTCAAATCTGACCTTAGATTTCAGATTTGACCTTTCATTCACCTTCAGTGACCTTGAAAAGGTCAAAAAAATTAATTTTTCTAAATTGATATTTTGGATTTAAATTTAGGTCAGCTTAATTACAAAACACCTAGTGAGGTCTGAAAAAGTTAAATTTTCAAGGTCGAAGGTCAAGGTCATTAAACTAGGTCACAAATGATGTTATCCAAGTTTCTCAAAGTTTGAGACTACAAATCAATTCTTGTCATCAAAATTCCAAGAAAACCGCTAACCTGTTCAACTTGAAATTTTTACACATGCAATAGCAGACTAGTGCCAAGATCTGATTAGGTTTAGGGCATGCTGGGTAAACTACGTGGTGGCCATTTTGAATTTTTCAACAAATCTTGTCATCAAATTTCCAGGAAAACCACTTATCCGTTTAACTTGAAATTTTTACAGATGCAAGAGCAGACTATTGCCAAGATCTGATTAGGTTTTGGGTATGCTGGCTGAATTACATGGTGGCCATTTTGAATTTTTCAATTTGGCGGCCATTTTGAATTTTTCAACTTGCTCCAAATTGACCAAATTTTTTTTTAAAAAACATCTACAAGTTCTCAGAAGTTCAAATCTGACCTTAGATTTCAGATTTGACCTTTCATTCACCTTCAGTGACCTTGAAAAGGTCAAAAAAGTTGATTTTCTAAATTGATATTTTGGATTTAAATTTAGGTCAGCTTAATTACAAAACACCTACTGAGGTCTGAAAAAGTTAAATTTTCAAGGTCGAAGGTCAAGGTCATTAAACTAGGTCACAAATGATGTTATCCAAGTTTCTCAAAGTTTGAGACTACAAATCAATTCTTGTCATCAAAATTCCAAGAAAACCGCTAACCTGTTCAACTTGAAATTTTTACACATGCAATAGCAGACTAGTGCCAAGATCTGATTAGGTTTAGGGCATGCTGGGTAAACTATGTGGTGGCCATTTTGAATTTTTCAACAAATCTTGTCATCAAATTTCCAGGAAAACCACTTATCCGTTCAACTTGAAATTTTTACAGATGCAAGAGCAGACTATTGCCAAGATCTGATTAGGTTTTGGGTATGCTGGCTGAATTACATGGTGGCCATTTTGAATTTTTCAATTTGGCGGCCATTTTGAATTTTTCAACTTGCTCCAAATTGACCAAATTTTTTTTTAAAACATCTACAAGTTCTCAAAAGTTCAAATCTGACCTTAGATTTCAGATTTGACCTTTCATTCACCTTCAGTGACCTTGAAAAGGTCAAAAAAGTTGATTTTCTAAATTGATATTTTGGATTTAAATTTAGGTCAGCTTAATTACAAAACACCTACTGAGGTCTGAAAAAGTTAAATTTTCAAGGTCGAAGGTCATCAAATTAGGTCACAAACGATGTTATCTAAATTTTCCCAAAGTTCCACACTACAAATAAATTCTTGTCATCAAAATTGCAGGAAAACCGCTAACCTTGTCAACTTGAAATGTTTACAGATGCAAGAGCAGACTAGTGCCAAGGTCTGATTAGGTTTTGGCCATGCTGGATAAATTGCATGGTGGCCAGTTTGCTCTTCAAAGTGCGATATTTATCACTGTGTGTCTTGTTTCTTTTTGATTTTGATGATATTTTACTTATTGTGCAATATAGGATGATGATGGGGCAGAGAACATGACTGATGGAGATCCAGAGACGTTCTGGGAGAGTGACGGCAGCCAGAACCATCACTGGGTCAAACTAAAGATGAAGAAAGGAACAATCATCAAGTAAGAAATAAAATATTATGTCACTACCTGACCACGACCAGTGTTGTCATTTGGAGTTCCACATTTAGCATCAAAACATTCAAACCTGTGCAGGTCACCATGATTTCAATATTAAGATTTTAAGATTGCCTTTCTTTGACTGAATCTACTACTCAATCTAGTCGTAGTAGCATTCGCATCAGACATGTTGTTCAATTTAGGTTTGGGCATTCCATATTGAAAAAATGACCCATTCATACATATGAGGTGACCCAAATACAACAGACCCACTCAAAACCTTCCCCTCTTATCAACAATGTTTGACTACAATAATGTAAAGGCATTATGATATTTTCAAAACTGTATATTTAGGAAACTGCTGATTACTGTGGATGGGAATGACGACAACTATCTACCTTACCGCATCATTGTCTCAGGGGGAGAAACTGACAACCTCAAGAAGCTAAACGACATGAGAGTAGACCAGTAAGTGATTTACTTTTATCCCTTATTTTACTCAGTGCATGCTAAAAGACCAAAATCATGAAGTGATTGAGCTCTTGCAATGGTATTAAATATAGAGATCATCTTACTGGAAATGCAAACATAAATTATAAATTATCTGTGTCATCCCCCTTTCAAAATGTTTAAAGGTTCATCACTGATGTATTCGCCATGATTGTGATGTGGTTCTGATCATGATCATGATGGTATCTTCCTCTCTTATCATCCTGATTCCAGGAAAATCACTTGTTGAATTTTCATCAAATATATATAAATTTTAGAGGTTACTAAGTTCTAGAGCTGATTAAATTTTGGATGGTTATCTTGTTTTCTGGTAGCCATTTTGGAACTTTTTCATGAAATCTTAGCATCATGATTTAGGGAAAATCACTTTTTGAATTTCTTCAAATTTTTACACATGTCAGAGGTTACCAAATTCTACAGTTGAATTGAATATTTGAGAAGTTTTACAATAAATCTCATCATTATGATTTCAGAAAAATCGCTTGTCAGATTTTCTTCAAAATTGTTCACATGTTTGAGACCACCAAGTTCTACAGTTGATTATGTTTTTGTGATTTTATTCAGGTCATGCACGAACTTGTTTTTATTTTCAGAAACATGAGTGGCATAATGGATGTTTGTATATTGGAAGATATGACTGAACACTATCCGATGATAGAAATCAAAATCATGGAATGCAAAGGTACATAAGAATTTTTATATTTTATATTTTCTGAGCAGATTTCTTTCTCTTCGCAAATACTTGATTCAATTTTCAAAGTGATCCTGAGACCACTAACATTTCTATTTTTTTGATGAAGTAATTGATTTATCACTTTGATCTGATTACACTGAGAGCTGGAAGGAATTTTGAATTATATAAGCCACAATGGAAGTAATTGAAATTCCATAGGGAATCAAGAGTGCAGAAATAAGGAAGGAGGCATGGTTGCACTGCAGACCCTAAGTTTCAGAATAATTGGTACAAGTCCTTTGGACTTGTAAGTGAAAATTTTTCAAGTCCATCCAAAAAATACAAGCCAAATAAGGACTTGTAAATTTTAAAGTTACAAGTCCAAAAAATCAGCCAACTGAACTCCGTGAATTACAATTTAAACAGTATATGTAAACAGTTTTATTGCAAATACTAAATAACACCATGGTAGTAGGTAGTGAGCTAACCATGGTCTTCCAAATTCCCATTTGGGTAGATACTTCCGCTTTTTGGTCTTTTCCATATCATACCATCTTAAAGGGAATTTAACTTGCTGATCACACACCAAATTTCAAAGTGATTGGTTAAATTCCAATTTTTTTAGAATATTTTTAGTGATGTCCATATTTCACTTTTTAATAGTATGTATGTCTCCCCCTGCAGCCCAGGTGGCCTCAATTCTACGAGGATATGATCCCGTATAAATCATTCAGAACGTTTAGAACCCTGAATGTAACACATTTTACTCTGTAACGATATTGAGAAACATCGAAATCACCCAATGTTGGCATTGTCACTGCAGTATCATTTTCACTTTTCAATCACTATACCTGGTAATTTTACTTGTTTTGACGTAATCAAAGGTCAACTACAACCTTACAAGAAACATTGTAGCAAATTTTATTAGGAGGAGTTTATGATTGATTTTTTGAGGGTGATCAGCATTTTCCATAAGCTTCAAAATGATATATGGGAAAGTATGATAAATTTTAAGATAAAAAAGTTAAGGGGGGAGAACAGACTTATTTGACACCCTGTATTTATATAGTACAAGTACAGTATCTACATCAATATAATCCATTTGTTTCCCAAAAGAGAAGCACCCAATGTATGAATTATGATTCTCAATGATGGGTATGTTCATAAATTAATAATATCTCGAAGAATGTCTGGATATCTTTTGTGTCAGTAATGTCTTGTTCAATATATATTCATCAGATCACACCACAGTCAGGTGGTGGGCAGACTTGTCTCTTCTGTCCAAGTTCATGGGGAGGTGTTCAAGCCAGATTTATTTCCTCATCTGTTTCAATTCCCTCTGCACTTTGATGTCTGTCTGTTGTGAAACAAAGATAATACAAAATGTTGGACTGTAAGATACTTGAAGTAAGATGTTACACATAGATCCAAAGGATTTCTGGTCAAAATATATAGTAGTTAGGTTATAACAAAATTGAAATTATATAACTATTTCAAAAGAACTTCCTTCTTTGCAGTAAAGAAAATATGATTTTACATACCGTAACGCCCTTTCTTTCTGTCATTTCTTTCCTCATTATCTTTGTATTCCTCAACACTGTGACCTGATTCCAAAGTTTTATACAAGATAGGATTCTTCTTCTTTTGCTTTATTTCTTTGTCTGTTTTTGACTGCTCAACTCTTTCCTCATTGTATGTTTTTTGTTTTGATTTTGATGGCATAATCCCCTCTTCATTGGATGTCTTTTGTTTTGTTTTCGTTGGTTTAGTTCCTTCTTCATTACGTGTCTTTTGTTTTGTTTTCGATGGCTTGATATCTTTTCTGTTGGATTTTCTTTGTTTTGTTTTTGATGGTTTAGTTCCTTCTGTATTACCTGTCTTTTGTTTTGTGTTTGATGGCTCAGTTTCTTCTTCATTGGGTGTCTTTTGTTTTGTTTGGGATGGGTTAACCCCTTTTTCATTGGATGTATTTTGTTTTGTCTCTGATGGTTTAATTCCTTCCTCATTGGGTGTCTTTTGTTTTGGTTGCATTATTTTTTTCCCATTTATTCTTGTATCCTCATACTCCTCATTAGTTTGACCACCTCCACTGCTCATGTAATCATTTTCATCATCTTGTTCAGCATCAATTTGCCAGTCTGGTATTGGTTTTCTACCACTTCCACTTCCACCTGCAATTGAAAATGTTTTAGTTACGGGGAACCACTATCACTGGGGAGTATCGTGATGCAACAACACCGTGTTGTTGCATCAAGATGGCCAGACTTCCGGTGATAGATTTTCGTACGATATTTTGTTTCCCCAATTAAACCCATTTCTAGGACGAGTTGCTCAATAACCATACACGTGCAGTAAGCGCACGATCTATATTTAAAGAAACTGTCATTAGTATACATGTACCATCACCAAGAAGCAATAAGTTCACGGTTTTAGTTCCTCACTATTGATGCAACAACACCTAATCGAAGATGCAACAACACTCCTCTAGATTTGAGCAATGATGCAGCAACACCAATTAATAGTATAATTTCAGAAGACCATAAATCTCGAGAGGAACAGATTTTTAAATGCTACTATTGCAACACCGTTACCCATTACCCATATCTTCTCAAGGCATTCAAAATACACGTCCTGCAGGCGAAGATCCTTTATATGTATTTTCAAAAAATACTTTTAAATATTATAATGTACTGGACGTTGTTCTATAACATAGTTCAATCGCCTTTAACATGGCAAGCTTTAGTAACCCAATCTATTTTCATAAACCACTGTTCCATAGCTTGATGACCCTGACTCCAGTATCATTCAAAATGGTGGACAAACATCTTTCGTTCTCGGTAAACATGATGAGCTATTGGAAATTATCTGTCATCCATCTTTGAAACAGTGATAAACTAGTAGATGTACGTTACCACTGTTTATCAAATTATAACTAAAACAGCTTAACTGTGACATTCGTGACCTTATGTTGATGGGATGATTGCTTCATCTATGATATAATATGATATGATTCTTTATTTCCTCCAATTTGGAGAGCCAACGTGTAAAAACGTCTAATTGACTTTATTAGAGAGGCCGTTTAGTTACACGTTTAATGGAAATCTTGCACGACCCACATGTAGAATTACGAGTATTGCTCTCTTTGGATTCCTTCTCTCCGACTGAGTAAAAAGGTAAACAAAAGTGATAAGATTAAGGGCCCAAAAAGGTAAATTGATAGGGGTACAGTTATCCCAGATATCCCGGGCCCTCAGGAAATATCATATTGTCTCTCGGAATAAAACCAATTTTAAATCCCTCTCAGTAAATAACCTTTATATAATAGCATTGTATAACTGCAATATCATTAAACCAACACTCATCCCATACAACTCTTGAGAACGATGTACAACTCCTGGATGGCGTAAACTCCTGAGCAGCGTATACAATTCTTCAACTTGATATATGACATCATACTTTGGGTTGGATAACAAAGGATATACAATATACAATTGTAGACCTCTCTTGAGGTCAACTGGCAAATTGTATACCGATACTGTAATCCTTGAAAGTTCGGAGGTCGAGGTCAACAGTACTCTCAGGGTTTACTGTTGAGGTATACACTTTGGCCGAATAGAGAGGTTGACAATAGTTTGTTAGTCCGAAGAATATAATAATTTGAAGGATATAATATACAATTGTAAGGTCAACTGGCAAAATTGTATACCGATACTGTAAACCTTGAAAGTACTGTTGATCAAGACCAGAGGTCGAGGACACTTTTGCCAGTTGACCGAAAAGAGAGGTTAACAATTGTTCTGTAAGTCCAAATAATATAATAATTGGACGAATATATAATCGGATATCACGTGAACATATATAAAGGTATCATATTTTAGCAAAAAATCCCCAAACCGTCGAATACTTGTAATTTTTTACAGAACTTATTTTTTCAAAATTTAAAAAATGTTAACATTAAAAAACAATTTTTCAAAAATAGGGGTCAACAGTTTACAATTGTTGACCTCCCCAAAGGTCAACCGGCAAAATTGTATACTGAGACTGTAAACCGAAAAACTACTGTTGACAGAGACCGAAGGTCGAGGTCAACATTAGTTTCAAGGTTTACAGTTTTACAGAAACTTTTTTTCAGAAGTAGCAGTCAACAGTACCTAGTAGCGGTCAACAGTACATACTTTTGACCGCTAATCACCCAATCAGAATCGAGTATTTCAGTTGAGGTACTAACAATACATTTTGTTGACCGCTCATCAACCAATCAGAATTGAGTATTTCAATTGAGGTACTAACAACACAAAATGACTGATATCTGTTGTCTTTCCAAAATTATATTAATTATTTGTAAGCAATTTCCATACGGTAAATCAAGGGCATGTATGTATAATCTTTATTTTTCAGATACAATATCAATGAGATTGCCTCCCGGGGATTCTGTACTTTATTTAGTTTGCCTTGTATATCCTTTTAACTTTGATATAGACAAAGAAACCAAACAAAATACGTTTCGTTCATGGACCACTGACTCACACGTTTTATTCATTTCCCGACCTACACCTGTAAACAGAACATAAAATAGTTTCTCTTGTTGTTCAATGATACATTATATTGGCGTTTTTGCATCAGCACATTGGTGTTGTTGCATCATCGATAAGAAACAGAGTGGTGTTGTTGCATCAATAGTGAGGAATTAAAACCACGAATTTATCGCTTCTTGATGAAGCTACATGTATACCAATGACAGTTTTTTTAAATATAGATCATGCGCTAACTGCATGTGTATGATTATTGAGCAACTCGTCCTAGAAATGGGTGTAAATTGGAAAAACAAAGCATCGTACGAAAATCTATCACCGGAAGTCTGGCCATCTTGATGCAACAACACGGTGTTGTTGCATCACGATACCCCCCAGTGACTATAGAACTTCTGTAGTAAAATAAGAAAATATTGAAGTATCTGTAAAAAGATGGCACCACTTGAATGCAAACTATCTTAATGGATCAAGTATAATTTGAAAATATTGTTTAATGGCATATATAAAAATTGATATTAAATTAATATTTTTTAGAAAAATGTCAGACATTATTTCTTTTCACTTCAGATCATGGTTTTGGGATGCATAGGGTCTATTTTTTGATGACAGGTTTACACATAGAGTTTGCTTTTCTTGCTAGGTTTCTTTACAGTTTATGGTCTTTTCCCTTTGGCATTTGTGCTTAGATATTGACATGTTTAGATTTCTTATCCTTATTTGTTTACCCACCTCCTCCTCCACTACTCATGCCCTCTCCTACATCATTGCCGTCATCAGGTTCTTCATCTACTAGCCAGTCTGGTACTTGAGTGTTATCTGAAAGGGGAATGTCGGGAAAATAATAAAATATTGCATCGAAGCATGTATTTTCTTCAGTTTTTATCTTTGTTCGCTTGATTTAAATCAATTTAGTATTTTAGAAAAATAGAGAAAGTTTTTATAGTTTATTCTCTCCATATAGTATTTCATATGACATCAAAGCAAATAATGCTATTTTTGGCTAAAGTTTCTTTGCAATGTCTTATTTAACATAAAACTGTCTCTGAACAGTACAATCATATTTTGTTCAATTCTTTATCTTGATGATGAATAGATACATGCACTTGTATATACAGGGTGTTCCAAAAGTAACAGGATTGGTGCTGGCATTTTGTTAAATATGCACCAATCGTCTTCAAAATTGTACATAATGTACTTTCATGTGTCTTTACTAAAACTGCAAAGTTTCACGAAAAATATGTAACTCGGATAGAGTTATGGTTGCTATGGTCACATGACATCACAATACCCGGGGCAACATTCCACGCAGTAAGTTACATTAAGACAGAAAGAGACATTAAGCATTTTGTACATCCCATATCAAAGTTAAAATGCAACAACTGGTAGGAATAACATTTGTTTTACATAATTTGATATTCTTATGTATCCTATGTACTTTGAAAAATAGGCCCCTCTTTGGTCAGTAGAAGAGTAGCACTCTGTATCCATGACTCAAACACATGAGTGAACCCATTTGAGGACATGTCACGCATGGTCGATTGAACAACTTGGAGAAGGTCATTTTCATTTTTAAAGATCTAACAGCACTGCTAAGCATTCCATTCTCCATGTAAGTAAAAATTGGATATTGCATGATCAGAACAGTATGGTGCATGGTTTTAGAACTCAAGACCTAGCTCCTCTATGGCTGCATGGTCTTTAATGGTGACCTGCGGGCAGGCGCGTTATCAAGGTGGATGACTGGCTTCAAATTGGGTATTTTTAAAAACTCAACCATGAATTGTTCAGACTGTAATTCATAGTGATATTCAAGGAAATTGAATATTATCATTATGAAATTATACTTGAATCTGAGTTTTATAGCAAACCTTTACAACAAAGCAACTAATAAAATAAACAAGAAATGTTGTATTATAATAGGTGAATTAGATATTTTCTTCAGTAATACAAAAATGTTAGATATCACATTTTCAGAAAAAAAGTTGCCCCGGGTATTGTGAAGTCATGTTACTATAGTAACCACAACTCTTCCCGCATTTCATCATTTTTTCTGAAACTATACAATTTTAGTTGCAATAAGTACAATTTGTGAAAATTTGAAGACACTCAGTGCAAAATTGACAAAATACCAGCACCAGTCCTGTTACTTTTGGAACACCCTGTATGCACAGTACAAAATAATACACATACCAAGATAATTCTTCTGTATGAATCTTATCCAAAATCTTCGCATTTGATTCAAGTCTGCTGGTGAGTAAGTGGAGTCATCAGATTCATTGGACAGCTCTATGTAGTCTGAAATAGTGAATTATTTAGGTGTTGTATTTACAGTTTGCAGTTATCAGGGGTCTGATGAATTTACAGGATCCACAAATATGTCTGGAATATTGATACTGTACATTGCTGGATTAATCTTGAATTCTAACCCAGGATAAAATTGTATATTCGCAATATCTCAGGATTAATATTTTCTTATAATCTGATAGATATTTTTGTAATTTGATGAATCAAAGGGATTATCTCCAAAATCCTACAATTGTGATGTACTCGTACTTGAAGAAAATTTGCGAAATCCCTATAGGATTAAAATTCCTCAAGATTCAAGTAATCAATTCTGCTATACGGCAAAATTTTTTGCATTTAGACACACTTAAATCATTGTCTAGTACTGCTGTTTTAAAAACATGTTTTAAACTAGAAAAAATAAATAAATATCAACTTGTGTGCTATTAGGTTTCACAAATATGAATTTCATGCCAAAGGAGTGGTATCGATATGGTGAATTTTTTGAACACGCATTTCTCTTAATTAAACCAGTCATCAAAACATTCTGAAAATTTTACACATTTTCAATTTAATGGTCATCTTTTGGATGGTAACATTATAATTTGAAATATGCTTATATACTTCTCTCTATATTGTTTTAGAAAACACATCAGACATTTCTTTTGTTCTTGGTATCATATGTTCGGAATGAAATGAAACATCTATCCGAACCTCATTGGAACAAAACGACATAAACACAACGTGTTTAGGTCTCTCAATATTGTAATTGTACAAAGGAAAGTTTGGTTGATTTTAAAAAAGTATCTTGTTAATGAAATAAAAGGTTTATCTTAATTTTTATCTATTTTGGGGGGTTTTGTTTTAAGATTTTGCATACTTTTTGTAAAATCAACCAAAATTTCCTTTGTATTACTATAATATTGAGAGGTCTAAGAAAATGTTGTATGCTATTTTGTTGCAACAAGGTTCGGAAAGACATTTTATTTCATTTTCAAGTATTGATAGAAAGGAACAAAAAACAATTGCACTAAAAAACAAAAAATTTTAACAAAAACAGTTGTATAAAATATATATAAATAATTTTTGCATTAAATTGTTGCCAATCAGTCAACATTACATAAAAGGCCGTGTTTTTTTACAGAATGTTTTCAATAATTGCTTTATAATTAAGAGAAAAACATTCTTGGATTCAGATCACCATATCGATACCTCTCCTTTAGACGTTCTTATTTTTGAATACTAGGCAATCCTTAAAATGGGTTGATAGGGTATTCTAGTAAATTTTGTCTAAAAATAAAAATCTTGAATAACCTTAGAAGTACAGTAAAACCTGGCTAATCTGAATTGCGAGAAGTGTTTTGGATTAGAAGGTGTTCACATTTCTAGGTTTCTTTTACATGGGAGTGAATGGGAGGTTTGGAAATTGGGACAGAGAAAAAGTCTTCATATTAACAGGTGAGAGGTGTTCAGATTATAGAGGTTTTACTGTACTTACTTTTTACCAAAAACAGACAATGAGACTTCATTATGGATCATATAAAAATACGGTGGGCTTCATTATGAGAAAAAGCATTAGAAATTCTATACAAAAAGTGTCTGACAGAATTCCAGAATAACAGAATTCCATAAAATTGTTCAACTGGCAACTGAAATATAAACATTTTTAGAGAAAACATAGCAGCGCGGACATAGTTAATCTTGTATCACACCGGGATACTCTGACAATGGCGACTTCAGAAGCTGTCAACAATTCTAAGGAATGTAACAATCAATTGCACTCTTCTTATGCAGTTCACTTTGTTAATGCCTTATTTATCCACTAATTTCAGGCAATTGTTTTAACTTTTGTAATGATCTCATATATGATGCACATGTTGACTTTCTGTTGTTCTGAATCAATACAATATGTCTTCCTCCATACCAGCAATGGCAATAGGTTTAGAGAATGCCTGACATTGACAAAGTAAAATTTGAAATTGGACACCAGCTTATGATGATAAGTGTTAATTGAAAAATACTAGAACTAACAGATTTATCTTTATTTTCGCAAAATTTGAACACCTCTGGGAACATAATGATTTAAATCGATGTGGTGATTCATACAGGTAGAATAAAAATACCATTCCACCATCCCACATAGCCATTGTCTCTCATATTACATTGTTACAAACTTCATAATCATAATATAGAGTATATAGACACTATATTGCTTAACGATTTCATTTTTAAAGCATTGGAATTAATTTCCTTTATGACTTAAAACACAATAGAGGATATCCTATGATTTTTGAGGGAGACAATTTTTATTCATGTGTGGATACCAACCATCTCCACAAATGTACACAGTGAGAGAGAGATGAGCGATATAGACCGAGAATGTCATGGGATATCACATTTATTATTACTTGTGAATTCTAAAATAGCCCACAATAACATCAAGCAAAACTTAAAACCATTCAAAAACTCAAATATTTATTCAAACAAGATCATGCTCTATATAATAGAGTCTCTGGTCCAACTAGATAGCAGCTGCATAATCGTTATTTTATTCTTGAAAGATGGATGACTGAGTGTTTGTTATGAATCTGCACCCGGGAATATGCATTGAATTTTCATGTCACATCCAGAGCTCTGTCAGGCCTGTAGCTACCTTTGGCCAAGGAGAGTTCACTTTTCAAGAAATTCTGGGGGGTTCACTTTTGACAATTTTAGCCCAAAATCACTTGAAAAGTGCTCAGAATGGGGAAAAACTGCATGATTTTGAAAGAATTTTTGGCCAGGGGGTTTGCTTGTACCAACTGAACCCCCCTTCATCGACAAATTTTTATGTGAGGTGGAATGACTGCAACTTGGTTCTTTTGAACAATGCTTTTCTTCATTTTATGTTTAAATCAGAATAAGTAATGACAAAATGAATCACCATAAGTAACTGTAAGGTTGTCTGAACTTTATTCTAACAGTAAATCAGTTGTGTTATTTGTCAAACCATTTTTGGCGCTGAATGCAAAACTTAAGAAAAAATAGTATCCATTAGATATGATTGGATATCATGTCTTATTCCATGATGGTGAAACGTGACTTAAATATATCCTGTATTTACACGCACATTCAACTAAGCGTTGGATACAGAGTAAAAAAGTCGTCAGCGTTGGGATACGGTCTAGCAGACGAAAGTCGAAAAAATGTTTCGCTACACTGCACTTCCAGCTGATGAAATTGAAGAAAAAAGAAAGAAAATAAAATGTCTTGTATAATACAATAAAAAGCAAACAACAAGGCCATAAAGATTTTGAAGGAATATCGATGTAAAATATCTCTGAGGTGAGAAGGTTGATCTGTTTCTCCGGCCCCAAGCCTAGGGACTTGATTTAGGCAAGTTTTATATGGGTAATCATGGAATAAAAGCGTTATTCAATGATTTCTCGTGAAATACAGAAAGTATTCTTCCCTTGAACGTCTGTATTTCACGATGCGCTAGCATCTCGGGAAGAATATTTTTTGTATTTCACTCGAATCATTGAATAACTTACATTATCCGATGGATACTAAATATATATGGGGATACCAACACAAGATAATTTTCGTATACGCCACTAAAATCGTATCCAATCCATATGACGTGATATCCAATCTTATCCAACAGATACTATTTTGAAAAAAAAAGTTTTGAAAAAATTGAAAATTAATTCGGAAAAAAATTTGAAAATAAAATTATAGAAATAAAAAAAAATGAAAAGAAATTTGGAAAAAAATTGAAAAAATATTTGGAAAAATTTGAAAAGTTCCAAGGTTATATGCTCAGTAAAAATGAGTTACATTTTTTCATGCAATCATTTTATAAAAATAAGGTCACAGAAAATAAAATGAAAAAATAGAATAGAATTAGAAAACAACAACTTTAGGTCAAATTATTTGAAGTCCATACAAAAATAGCGACCATCGGATAAATATGATATCCTATGATTTTCTTGGCTATCATTTTTATCCACTCTTGGATATCCCTTGGATATTGCAGATCTCCACTCATTCGCTGCGCTCACTCGTGGAGATGGGCGATGTCCAATCATGGATAAAAATGGTATCCCTCAAAAATCATAGGATATCCTCTATTTATCCTATGCATCCTAAGCAGGTGTCCAGAATCCGTACCTCCTTCTTCCCCCCTGCTATAACCAATTTGGACGCGCCCGATTTAACTGAATCACATGATCCAATAATGCGCAATGACTTATACATGATTTCTGTCGCAGTGTTGCGACAGCCAATCAGATTGCGAGTTCTTAATCGGGAAAATGGTAACTGCTTATTGCAGGGGGTAAAAAGAAAGAATATGTTCTGGATTTTGAACCCCTGTGATCGGAGGATGATCCTATGCCAAGTAGAGTTTTAGGGAGATAAGTTAGTAAGATATATCCTGTCTCCTGATTTTGAGGTTTCCATATCCAGAACTCCCATATCTCCCGCCATATCTCCCGCTCCAGGGCATACCCGCTTTAAAAATTTTGTTTAAAAAAATTTCTGAAAAAAAATTAGAAAGAACAATTTGAAAAAATGTTGAAAAAAATGTGAAAAAATTAGAAAACTCCACTGGGTATAGGATAAAGCAATTATGTACAATCGGTTTCGATATGGGCTTTATCCCACGTGAGATATGCATCTACCTTCAGTCCCTATGGTCCATAAGGTAGTTATGCATATATCCCTATCCACACATTAAACATCCATAGGATTTTGAAATTTGAACTTTCAGTGATCTTTATTACCCCACAACTTCTAATATAAGTATGCATCAGTTATAAGTGTGCTAAAAGTAAGCTTGGAAATCACTCATTTGGCCTTTATAATTAATGAACAATTATACCTACCCTCTCTAGGCCTGGATAGTACCCCCTGTATGGTACCTAGGGTCAGTACAAAAGCAAAGGTAGACTTCAGGAACATCCTCCTTTATATCATAGTCCTCCTACAGCTACTTATGAGTCTCTTATTGAACTAACTAATATATGTGGGAATATATCATCTTTATAAACTTGCACAACTACTGCTAGATTCCAGTTAAAGGATAAGGTGCAGTTTAACTTTTTAACCTCCAGTTTTTTTTACTTCCAAATGCCATGAGCTACTAATACTTAAAGCATACAGTATATAAGAAGTTAAAATTATGTAAAGAATTAAGCGCAAATATTTGTGATGATCTCTATGTTAATATAGTTTTCACAATTGACAAAGAGATTTTTATTATCGATATATAGAATTTCATTTTAAATATAGAATGAGAATTCTTTGTGAGAGCCTTCCAATAAACTGTTTTGTTAAAGACACTTGGCTGACATGCCAAGTTTCGAAAATACCTCCATTCTTTTTGTTCAAATTATTGAGAATAATGAAAGTCAACAATTGTAAGTTATCCAGGGTTTAGGAATAGATCTTAAAAATGTATTTGAAGAAAATGTGTAAAATATTTCACAAATTCTTCCTCGCGAAACCAGGTCCATAGCCAGGGGGGGGGTTCGATAGGTTTTTCACCATTCTGAGCACATTTTAAGTGATCTTGGCCATTTTTATCCCATCGAACAAAGTTCGGAGGGATATAGGGAACGCCTCCGTCCATCTGTCCGTCCGTACGTACATCGTACATCTGTCCGGGCATTAACTCAAATACCATTGGCCTGATTTTGTTCACATTTTGTACACATATACACTATGGAGATAGAAGTTCTGCTCGAAAGCCGATTTTCAAAATGGCCACTCATTTAAAAATGGTGGCCATTTTAGTGACGATTTTACAGTAATTTAGATGCAATATGTAAAACTGTAATAGCAATATGTTTTAAATGTAAAAGAATTATATAGGACATTAATAAAGCTAGAAATGTAGATATTAAAGAAGCACATGGCAGCCATCTTGAAAAAATGGCGGCCTTTACTCGTTATTTTACGATTTTTGCTGTAACTTGAAAAGTAATGGAGCGATTTTGTTCATATTTGGTATGTGAGTACTATAAACATGACACACTGTCTAATGAGACTTTTGGTAGAAGGCAGCCATTTTGAAAAATGGTGGCCATTTTGAAAAATGGCCGCCATTTTAACATATTTTACTATAGCACGAAAAGTAGTGGAGTGATTTTGTTCATATTTGGTATGTGAATACTATAAGCATGGCACACTGTCTCATGACACTTTTGGTAGAAGGTGGCCATTTTGAAAAATGGCTGCGATTTTAACGTATTTTACTATAACTCGAAAAGTAGTGGAGCGATTTTGCTCATATTTGGTATGTGAATACTATAAGCATGGCACACTGTTTAATGACACTTTTGGTAGAAGGCAGCCATTTTGAAAAATGGCTGCCATTTTAACGTATTTTACTATAACTCGAAAAGTAGTTGAGCGATTTTGTTCATATTTGGTATGTGAATACTATAAGCATGGCACATCTGTCTAATGACATATTTGGTAGAAGGTGGCCATTTTAAAAAATGACCACCATTTTAACATATTTTACTATAACTCTAAAAGTAGGAGAGTGATTTTGTTCATATTTGGTATGCGAATACTATAAGCATGGCACACTGTCTAATGACACTTTTGGTAGAAGGTGCCCATTTTGAAAAATGGCTGCCATTTTTGCTATATACTTTGTTTGTAAAAATGCCAGCCATGGCTGTTCGATGGGATTTGCTACGCTTTGGCGTTGCTGTTGTCTAGTTCAAAAAGTGAACCCCCCTTAGCAAATCCTGGCTACAGGCCTGGAAACCCTATATAGAAGAACATGCCTTGTCCTTTTTCAGAGGTTTAATTGATAACAAAAGTTGTGGATTGGGTTCCATTTTTTCAAAAGTGTAACTGCATGACATAAGCAGGCGTGTTATGTTCATTTTTCCCCCAAGAAGGTGATATGATCCGTCATTGTTTTTCGAGTTTGAAGTCCGATGTCATGTGACAGATGTCAATGGGTCTAGTCGATGGAAGAATCTCTATTACTATAAAGCACTTGTTTGGTTTGTAAAGACATTTTAAAAAAAATTATAAACCAACATTGAATTATAAAATGTGATCAGCTACTGTATTTTAGACAGTTGGCCTGTCTCTCCAAACAAATATGTTGCGCATTAGCATTACTATCACCACCTCAGCGATGTTAACAGTTTGTTGTTTTAAATATTCTCATTTTTTGTTCCTGTATTTTTAGTCATTATTAGTAAGTGTCAAGTCAAACACTGTAGAAGGGAATCATCAATGTTTAAAAGAACTAATATGATAATGTTTTCATTGAATAACCATGGATATAGGATGTAATTATGGGAATGTAATTCTTTCACTTGGCATGACCAAGACATATCTATTCTAAGTGCATACACCGGGGTGCCTGAACTAATTGACACACCCTGAGCTCCTGTAGCATGAATCACTACTGCTAAATAGCTAATATATAACATTTTATTCATTAGTTTGAGAACAGGTCACTATTTGGCACAACAATTAGTTAGAGCACATAGATTCCAGTTTGAAATTTTGTTCTAGCCAACGTTTTTCTGTGAGTGGCATTCGGGGGGGGGGGTGTCTAACAAATTGTATGGTTGTTCATTTTACAGCAACTTATTTTAATTCTTTTAGAGCTACAACTCTGAAATATTGTTTCGTTTGCTCTCTTAAAGTGGTTGCATTATATTCAAGGAATGACCCTATAATGTTTGACGTAAGTTTGCCATAAAAGTGTTCCACTTAGGAGGTGTTCCACTTATAGAGGTTCATTTAACATTAAGTCATTTGGTCTTGGCACTCTTGAAAGTGTACCACTTGGTGTTCCACTTGACAGGTTTCACTTAAATTCAGTGCAGCTAGATAGTTGTCTATGACACTTATGAAACAGTGATACATAACACCATTATGACCTTTCTGAAATTTAAAAAACAGTAACAAATGTAATTGATACACTTTTAAACCATCCTCTAAATTTTGAGAAACGTCAATGATTGCTTATTTAAAATCAAGACTGTGGACCCCCCTTATCTACTGCAACAACATGCGTGGAGGTGTTTTTAATAGGGGGAGGGATGTCACAGGGGATTGTAGCTATACTATATTAAAAAAATCAGACCCTACTTGTGTGGTAGGTAGGTGGAATTCCACCTAGGTGGGGGCGGCAAATTAGACAAACCCACCCTGGGATAGTTAGTTTGTTGTCTAATTTCTTGGTTTGATGCAAGTGCTGTTGTTGCTGTTGAAGCTGTATGATGCCGCAATTAAGGCGGAGTTATGGAGTGCTGGCATGTTTGCTAGACTGGCAGGGATTAACTATTTGTTTATCATGATGGAACAACAATCTATCTTTTGTGATAATGTTGTTATGTAATGGATGAATGGGTGTTCTTTGACAATGTTATTGGGAGGAGGCCAAAACAGCTTTGTATCATAGCTGAAATCGCAGGAACAAAACCTTTTTACTTAATATAATAGTTCCAAGGATTTTTTCCATTCATATACCTATTTGTCATCTTCAATTGCTAACTCATGAATTTTTTATTGTTACAGGGGGCACCATACACCTTTCAGTGGTGTCTCGCTCCCTTCATCAATTTTGTATTGTTGTATGTATATATATTTAATAAATTGAAAATTGAAATTGAAATTGAAAAAAATGTTCTTAAATTGGTCACTTATCAGGTTGTCAAGGTTTTTTTCAATGGAACCAGTTGTAAGTTTCAGTGTTTATTTTTCTATGATGTAAATTTAGATATATTGCAATAGGAAAGATAAATGGGATGGAACCATATCATCTTGCCTCAACATTTTGCCTCACCGTCTTGCCACACCATTTTGCTTTACCATCTTGCCACACTATTTTGCCTCACCATTTTGCCACACCATTTTGCTTTACCATCTTGCCACATCATTTTGCTGCACCATCTTGCCTCACCATCCTGCCACACCATTTTGCCTCACCTCACCTAGGTTTCCTTATACAAAATATTCACACAATTTTCCTGACCTGCGAGGAAACTTAATTGTTTTAGTTTAATTTTCTAAATAGATACTTGATTTTCAAGTGGAAGTTCCTAGTTGGGGCACCAGGTGTTAACATAAAACAAAAACAAAAACTTGTTTTTTGAACGAAGCTCTTACTTTTTCTGTTGATCCATTTTTTACTTGTAGATGTAGATGCTAACAAATTGGCCTAATTTACACATCTCTGGGAAGTTTTTATGTCCGCCTTGATATTATCAGGAAATATTTGTCTATGATCCTAGGGTGTAACAAAATTGACTTCCTGCAGACATTGATTTATTTATTTTCTCATGTCAGGAGATATGATCAGTGATACAATATGTTTTTTAACTGCGATATGTTTGTTACTTGTCAGGAAAAGGTCAGTTACATCATCATTGCATCATATTGCAGTCTCTTGCTAACCAAAAAACAGCAAGAATGTGTGAGTTTTATATAAAATGTCTAAGATTTGCAAGGTGAACTAATCAGCAAAGCCATGAATATGACCAAATAAAAAATGAGGTTGCCCTGCTTGGAATTTTTGGAAGCATTTTATAGATGGTGTCTACTGTGAATGCAGGTCATTTCTGATCTAATAAACTGGGTGCAAACTGAGTGCAAAATTTAATGAAAAATTAATGTTCTTTATTATGTCAGAAAAATTAAAAATCGTGGGATATTGAATCCATTGGAAAATAACTGTTGAATTCAAAGTTCTTCTCGAGAAAAATAGTGCACAGAAGTCAAAGGACAAGTCTCGGTTTGGAGAGCAGACTACTGGGCTAATAATTTTTTTTTATGAAAAATAACACCCAAAATAAATTTTGAATATTCAAAAGAAGACATTTAAATCTACAATATGTAAAAATATTAAAATTGTCCAAAGCAGGCATAACGTGCTGTAGACTGATTCAATAAAAGACAAGTCTCGGTTTGGAGAACAAAGTTCATCAGGCTATTGCGCTAATAATTTTTTTATGAAAAATATCGAAGTAACACCCAAATAAAATTATCGATATTCATAAAGACCGATTTAATAAAAAACAAGTCT